GCCATTGGCTGTTCGACCCCGACACACGATGCAACTCGAATCCGGCTCGCAGCGACACTGTTACGCGGACCAGCACTCGAGTGGATTTACAACGCTGACGTGGCCCGCGGGGAGAAAACGTGGACGCAGTTTCGGGCAGACCTAATCGAGCGTTTCGAACCCATTAATACCACCTACATGGCGCGGCAACAAATTCATCGGCACAAACAGTACAGTAGTGTAGCACAGTACACGCAGCAGATGGAGCTCCTGTTCAACCGCATCCCCGACCTGACCGAAGGCGAAAAAATCCAGGCGAATACAGAAGGGTTAAAATTGGAGATTCGGCGGCAGGTGATCGCGGCGAATTACGACAGCTACAGGGACATCGTGCGTGCAGCCGAGCGATACGATGCGCTGACTCGAGGTCAACCCGAAACACGACGTTTCGCGCCGAACCGTACATTCGGCACGGAGCGATCGGCACCCCCCACGTTCGCCGAACCGATGGATATCGACAAGTTTGACGCGAAGCAGCAGGCGGCGAAACGCGAAATTTGCGGCGCAGCAGGGCATCAAATCTTGTCGTGCTACAAAATGAAGAAAGCACGTGCGGCACTCCGGGACGGTAACAGTGGAGCACCCCCGAAGTAAAAAAACGGCAATCGCCAGTAGCCGCGGATCGACCTGGCGATCGCGTAAAGATCCGAAAAGCAGGAAAAGGCGACGACGTGGCGACTTCGGAGCGGGTGAAAAAAGGAGAAAATGATGGCGCGAATATAAAACGTCACGACCGGCCGGCATCAGGGGAAAAAAGACTCGGCATCGCCGAGGCGAAAGGTGGCTCCGCGAAAAAAGACTCTGCACCGACCGGGAAACTCCAGCCGGACCCCCACGAAAGTAAGAATTCGTTAAAAGTATCCTATAAAGATACTCTAACGAAAAATATTGCTTCTCGTGGTTTTCAAGCCTTTGAAAAATTCAGGGGAGATTTAGAGGCCAAGAAAAAGCCTTTAGAAATTATTCAGGTACCTGCACAGCTGGGCAAAGTATTATGGAGCGTAGAAAAGGGTCGTGCGTTCCGTGGTGTTAATATTCTCTCCCCGCAGCGTAGTGTTAAGGCTCCCCGTTGCCCACAGGTGAAGCCTACACAGCTGCAAAGGCTTAGAGGAGACATCCAGGCTCAGGAGAAATTATACAAGCCTCAGAAAAATCCTCCTACCCCCCAGGTGAAGTTGGAAAGTGCTGAGTCGGGTATAGGAAGTAGGGAAGGTATTCATTTTGATGTACCCTATGATCCTATTAATGAGACCCTCTTTGGCTACTCAGCGCAGCAGAAACCAACACTCCTCGAGGTGTTATGCAATGGGCGACGCCTCCAGGCACTGGTGGACAGCGGTGCATCTCACTCAGTATGTGACCGCGGAGCATTGGAGAAAATTGGAGAGAAGGCGGAGGAGACCAAATTCTCAGCAACCATGGTGGACGGTACGAAGCTTCCCATCCACTGCGAAGCAACCTTGCAGCTGCATATAGGTGCGTTGAGATGGAAGCCGAAGCTACCTGTTACCAACATCAAAGGGTTAGATTTCATCTTGGGGCGAGATTTCCTGAAGCGGTTCAACCCTGAGATCGACTGGGTCAACGGCAAAGTGTGCATCTACAACAACGGGAAGCGGATAGCACTACGAAGCTGGACGGATACAGGGGACATACCTGAAACGACACTGGCACGGTTCAAACAGATGGTGAACGAGAGTAACATGGGTTACTTAGCACTGGTCATGGCAGCAGCAGAAGAGGTGAAACCGGGTTCCGAGCTACCCGCAGCAGTGAAGGAGGTCTTGGAGCAGTACAAAGACATAATGCCCGACGACCTACGGTGCGAAACCCGTCTCACGTACACCATACAGACTGAGTTCGACCGAGCTGATAGATATGAAAAAACAGATCGAGTACGTACTGGACAGACAACTGACCCGACCATCCACCTCTCCCTACGGTGCACCAGTTCTCTTCACACCAAAACCAGACGGCAGTTTACGGATGTGCATCGACTACCGCGCACTAAACAAATAGTCAGTAAAAAACAAATACCCCATACCGCGCATCGACGACTTACTGGACCAACTGCTTGGTGTAACAGTTTTCTCGAAGCTGGACCTACGGTCGGGTTACTGGCAGATCAAGATGGCGGACAACTCAATCCACAAGACGGCGTTCCGTATGAGATACGGCTCCTACGAATACTTGGTGATGTCGTTCGGACTCTGCAACGCACCAGCGATGTTCCAGGCGGAGATGAACCACATTCTACAGCCCCTCCTGGACGAGTGCGCCGTGGTGTACCTGGACGACATTCTCATCTACTCCAAGAACATGAAGGAGCACGTGGAGCATCTGCGGAAGGTGTTCGAGATCCTGCGGAAGAATAAGTTCTACGTGAAGCTGTCAAAGAGCGACTTCGCACTGAAGAAGGTGCAGTTTCTCGGGCACATGGTGAGTGCCGAGGGCGTACACGTGGACCCGCGGAAGATCGAAGCCGTAAAAAAATGGAAAGTTCCGGAGAACGTGAAGGAGTTGCAGCAGTTCCTCGGCTTTGCCAACTACTACAACAGGTTTGTGCCACAGTACGCTAAGATAGCAGCGCCACTGACCGACCTACTGAAAAAGGACACGCCCTTCAAATGGAGTGCTCCTCATCAGCAAGCCATGGAACAGCTACAGACAGCACTGACCACAGCGCCAGTACTCATCCTACCGGACCCCGAGAAGGACTACGTAGTTGAAGCAGACGCTAGTGACCAGGCAGTCGGAGCAGTACTGATGCAGGATCACGGGAACGGTTTACAGCCTATCGCCTACCTCAGTAAGAAACTGCACGGAGCAGAACTGAACTACCCCATCCACGACAAGGAAGCCTTAGCCATAGTCGTAGCCTTCAAGGCATGGAGGTGTTACCTTGAGAAAGCCAAGACCATAGTCTATACATACCACTGCAGTCTCAAATACCTAAAGCCACATCACGACGACAGGTGCGGTGGGTGGATTTCTTGGAGACTCACTTCCACTACGACATCGTCTACAAACCCGGGCTCCACAACAAAGCAGACGCGTTGAGCCGCCCAGGTCATGTAGCAGGCATCCAGCTCGACGAGATGAACCCTCTGCTCAAGGGTCTATTCCAACATGGGTACTCCGTGGACGGCGAGATAGCAACGGCAGAGAAACAAAAGCTGTTACAGTGGGAGAAAGACTTAGCGGTAAGGAAGGGTTCAGGAAAGATTTGGGTACCGAATTACGCCCCGCTACGGCAGATCCTTTTGGAGGAGTTTCATGACGTACCATACGCGGGACATTTCGGGAGCAACAAGACGTTAGCAGGAATAGCAAAGTATTACTACTGGCCCCGGATGGCAGCAGACGTGCAGCAGTTCGTCACCTCTTGCGACACGTGCCAGCGGATGAAGAGTAGCAAGCAGAAAAAATCAGGGTTACTTCAGCCTCTACCCGTACCAGAGCAGCCATGGCAGGTCGTTAGTCTCGACTTCATCACAGGACTTCCCTCGACCTCACGGGGACACGATTCCATCCTCGTAGTAATCGATAAGTTCTCCAAAATGGGTCACTTCATCCCGACCAACGCCACAGCTACAGCTGAAGCAACTGCTCGCCTCTTCTTCGACCGCATCATCACCATCCACGGCATCCCCGCTACACTCATCTCAGACAGAGACCCCAAATTCACGAGTAAGTTTCGGAAGGAGCTTATGGGACTGTTGGGGACTAAGCTTGCGATGTCTTCAGCATACCATCCCCAGACTGACGGACAGACAGAGCGACTCAATCAGGTGGTTGAACAGTTACTGCGCACAGCTTGCAAAGACGACATCAGCCACTGGGACACACAGTTACCGACCTTAGAGTTCGCTTACAACAACGCCTCGCATGCGGCCACAGGGAAAACTCCTTTCTTCCTGTGTTACGGACGGGAACCACTCACACCACAGCAGCCAACCACACCGGCACACGTCCAAGCCGCACACGACTTCGTCACCACCATGCAGCAGCTATGGGAGAAGACTCAGCGGCGTCTCACCACGATGCAGAACTCCTAGAAGCAGTATGCCGATCGTCAGCGACGAGATCACTCAGTAGCAGTCGGAGATCAAGTGCTTCTCGACACGCGCAACTTGAACCTGTCTCACCTACCATCCAAACTCCGGCCTCGCTTCTGTGGTCCATTTCTCGTGGAGGCACAGGTGACACCAGTTACATTCCGCTTGCGCTTACCAGATACGTGGAAGCTTCACAACGCTTTCCATGTTCAGCTACTGAAACCCTACAAGGACCCCAACCAACAATTCCAGGGACGGCAGCTACCGCCACCACCACCTGTTCTTGTGCAGGATGAACCCGAGTACGAGATCGAGCGCGTTCTCACTTTTCGGTGCCGCGGCGGCAAGACCCTCGAGTTCCTGATACGCTGGAAGGGATATGACCCCACTGAGGACAGTTGGGTTGCAGAAGCTGATATGGGCAACGCACGCCGTGCTCTCAAGGACTATCTTGTCAAGCAGGGTGTATCTCACGCCACCCAGCTTTGAGGGGGGGACGTGTGAGAGTACGACGGCTTATGCTTGTTATTCATGCTTGCTTTTATTTCCTTACGCTATTCCTAGCTTAGGTTTAATTTCTGCATGCATGAATTGTTTGATTCCTAGGCTAGGTGCTTTCCTATATTTTATTATAGTTATAAGCACCGTGCTAGGTTACACCGAATTCGGAGCTATTCGGTTGCCACCGAACTGCTTTCTACCGAATTCGGGAAGGGTCTGTTCGGGATGCTTCGCGACCCGCAAAACCTTCGTGTAACACCTGGTTACTGGCCCTTGTGTCGAGCCTATATATAGCCTCGTGTTGTACCCAGGTGATCATTCAATTTACATTCTCTTTTCTGAGCTCGATCCTAAGATCCTCACAGTCTGGAAGAAGTCAACTACCTGGTGCTAACTAAAGCCTCATACAACGTAACGAGCCTTGAAGACAGGCGGAGAACCCGGCGACCGCTTCACCCTGAAAATCCACATGACATCGACTATGTTCGCCCCAGGAGGGGGAACTGCGTCGACGTAAGTGCATGTGGACTTCCAGGATGCCATCTTTGCGTCCATGGCTGCCTGCCACTGAGAGGAGTAGGGACCCGTAATCGCCTCTGCGTAAGAGCGCGGGGTCGGGATGTCCAGTGCATCCGGGTCTCCCTCAGGTGCAAGCAGCATGGCCACAAGATGAGGTACAGCAGCTGCAAGATACGCAAAGTCCTCCTGCCTGTCCTCAAGGACGTCCATGCCAAGAGCACACTCACCCCCGACGGACGGAGGGCAGACAGACTCAGACTCAGCAACAAGACTAGTGGCGTAGTCGAGACGACAAGCAGCAGCAAAGTCAACAAGCTCAGTGACTAAGGCAGACGCAGCAGCGGACTCAAACGAAGGGTCAGTGACAACAGTGGCTAGGAGACGCGTGACAGTAGCGTCGGCAGCACGGACCAGGTCAGACTCAGGGTCCGGAACGTGCGGAAGAGAGGACTCAGGAGGAGACGGCAGAGGGACACGCTGTGGAACAGAGGAAGGACGAAGTGTCATAGTGTGAGTACCAGGGACAGGAGGAGGACGCTGACAAGGAATACGACGACCAGTGCGAACAGCGCTAACAGGCAAGCCGGGATGAGACGCAGGCTCACGACACTCTGTAAGCGAGTCTGTCTGCTCAGTGTAAGGAGAAGGAGCAGGCAGTGGGGAGCCTGGCTGTAACGGGAGGCCAGTAGAAGACGGAAGGCTAAGAACCTGGCGAAGCACCGAGTCAGGCGGTGGCAGAGACGACGGTGACGGCGGAGCGAAGAACAGTCGCGGCTGTGCAGTACCACCAGCACCAGTACCACCAGCACCAGCACCTCCAGTACGAGTACCAGCAGCTCCAGAACCTTCAGTGCCAGCGCCTCTAGCTCCAGCGCCTCCATCTCCAATACCTCCAGCTCCAGCTCCTCCAGCCCCAGCGCCTCCAGCTCCAGAGCCCGCAACACCACCAGCTCCAGCAGCTCCAGCACCTCCAGGACGAGCACCTCCGGGACCAGCAGTGCCAGTACCACCAGCACCTCCAGCACCAGCAGCACCACCAGCTCCGGCAGCTCCAGTACCTCCAGTACGAGCACCTCCAGGACCAGCAGCTCCAGCTCCAGGGCCGCCAGCCCCAACGCCTCTAGCGCCAGTGCCTCCAGCTCCAACGTCTCCAGCCGCAGCAACTCCAGCTCCAGCAGCGCTACTCCGGAGGCGGCACGCTGAGCGTACCACTCGCGCAGCTGCTGTGGTGAGAGAGCACCTCTTGTACCTCCAGTACGAGCACCTCCGGGACCAGCAGTGCCAGCACCACCAGCACCACCAGTACTGGCAGCACCACCAGCTCCGGCAGCTCCAGTACCTCCAGTACGAGCACCTCCAAGACTAATAGCTCCAGCTCCTCCAGTACCTCCAGCACCTCCAGGGCTAGCAGCTCCAGAGCCTCCAGCTCCAACAGCGACACTCCAAACGCGGAGCTGCTGAGCGTACCACTCGCGCGGCAAGAGAGGCTCCCGGAGTGGAGAAGCAGTACCCCTAGGCACAGCACCTCCAGATTCAGCAACACCAGGCTCCGCACTCGCAGGCTCAGCACCCCCAGGCTCCGAAAGCTCAGGCTCAGCATCCCCAGGCTCCACACGCTCAGGCTCAGCACCCCCAGGCTCAGCAACCCCAGGCTCCACATGCTCAGGCTCAGTACTCGCAGGCTCAGCACCCTTAGGCTCCGCACGCTCAGGCTCGGCACCCCCAAGCTCCGCATGCACACGCTCAGCACCCCCAGGATCCACACCCACAGGCTCCGCACGCGCAGGCTCAGCACCCCCAGACTCCGCACGCTCACGCTCAGCACTCCTAGGCTCCGCACCCGTAGGCTCAGCACCCCCAGGCTCCGCACCCTCAGACTCAGCACCCGCAGGCTCAGCACCCCCAGACGCAGCACCTGAGTCACCAGTGACCTCGACAGGCTCAACCAAGGGGAGTGGGTCTACCTGAGACACACCTGAAGGAGCAAGACCCTGAGGGGGGAGGGGGTCTACCGGAGGGGGACCTGGAGCGAGGAAGAGCGGCAGGGGGGGGGGGGGGGGGGGGAGAGGGGTAGTGCGGTAGGGGAAGAGACGGTAAAAAGGAACCGACTCGTCAAACGTGACGTCCTGAGAGGACAGGACACGGCGCGAGCTGGGGTGGTAAAACTGCCAACCAGGCACGTCAGGGGGGAAGCCAAGGAAGACACAGGGAATGGTGCGGGAGGAGAGCTTGTCCGTAGAGGTATCACAGACGAAGGCACGAGCGCCCCAAACCCGGAACGCCGATGCATCGTCAACCTCCCCCGACCAACGCAGTGTAGGCGAGGTCTTCGGCAAGGAGACACGTGGCCAGAGGTTGAGCTGATGCGCAACAGCTTACCGGACTGCAAACGGCCACAGAAAATGAGGAGCAGCTGCATGGATCATGGAGGTACGAGCCACCTCCATGACTAGGCCAATGCGGCGCTCAGCAACCCCATTCTGCTGCGGGGAGGCCGGAAGCGTGAATGACTAGAGGATGCCCTCCCCCTGACAAAAGTCCCGCACTAGGTCGGAGGAGAACTCACCACATCTGTCTGAGTGCATACGCAGGACAGGAAGGTCCGTGCGGTACCGCTTGTGGAGCTGGAGACGGACAGCGCAGATCCAAGGGATCAAAACAGCAGGGACCTCCCCCTTGCTGCGCAAGGGGAAGACCGTGGTGTAACGCGTGTAGTCGTCAACAACCAACAGAAACTATCGCTCGCGGCCCTGTCCCTGGACGCGGGCTGGGCCCCACACGTTCACGTCTATGTGGAGAGTCTGCAGGGGAGCCTCTGTCGGGGGAAACGAGGAGGAGTGAGGAGCGGCGCGCTGCCACCCCTCGACGCAAGGAAGGCAGGGCGGGGCAGGCGAGCGCGGGAGGGGGGGCAGAGACCTGGGAAGACCAGAGACAAGGAGGCGGGAGTGCATGCTACGGAGGCGTGGCAAGGAGGGGTGACCAAGGCAGTGGTGCCAGAGGAGAGTCTGGTGCGAGAGGTGGCGACACGAGCAGGGGGCTGCTACCTGACCTGACGCGGACACCTGACAGGACAAAGCTACCTGGGGAGGCTCAGTAGTCAGTGTGTACAGGCTCGACCCAGGCCGACGGGTGAACGTGGCCAGGTGGCGGCCCGTCCGTGCACACATGCAGATCGCCACACGCTGTCCTCCAAATGTAAGGGTATCTACCCAAGCATCCTGAAGGACGGCGTTACTCACCAAGTTCACACCCTGCCCTGCCATGCCCGTATCACACCCCACCCTGCTCGTGGCGACGCGACGGGCAGGTCAGGGTGTCGCGCGGGTCCAAGGGTGACGCGACGGGCAGGGCAGGGCATCGTGCGGGTCCTAGGGCGACGCGAGAGGCAGGGCAGGGCGTCGCGCGGGTCCTAGGGCGACGCGGCGGGCAGGGCAGGGCGTGCGCGGGGCGGCGCAACGCAGGACACGGCGTGTGCTAGGCTGTGCAACGAAGGGCAGGGCGTACGCTGGGCTGCGCAATGCAGGGCAGGGCGAGCGCGGGGCTGGGCAACGCAGGGCAGGGCGTGCGCAGGGCTCCGCAACGCAGGCCACGGCGCACGCGGGGCAACGCGACGCAGTGCAGAGCCTGCACGGGCAGCGTGACGCAAGGCGGGGCACAGTAGGGCGTGCGCGGGCGGCACGACGCAGGGCAGGGCGTGGGGTAGCGCGGTAACCGCAGTCGGTCACTAGCTAATGGTGGGCCCGGAAAAAAAACGGTCCTACGGACCTACTGCTCTGATACCATGTCAAAAACTACCGAGCACGAATGATTGCATTGAGAAAGATGTGGGTACAAGTGCAAACCCTAAACTGGGTTGTACCCTATATGGGCTACCCCACTACAGCCTACACAGCATAAACATGATAACAATAAATTAAAACATTGTCCCGATCGTCATCCTAGCTGGCTTCACCTCGGAGGTTCAACCCCTCGATGTTGCAGTGAATCAATCCTTTAAGGCTTCAGTGCACCACCTCTACCAAGAGTGGTTCGAGAGCGAGGGGGTCGACACCTTGACGGCGAAAGATGAGAAAAGCCCCCGATGTGTTTGTTTGTTTACCGTGAATAACCCTTCTGACTCCCGCTGTCTTGTCTTTCATGGCAAGCAATATCAAAAAGCCACCACCCGAGCTGACGCTCAAGTGGATCTCCTTGGCTTGGAAGGACATGCTGAAGGACCTTATTCAGCAGGCGCTTCTCACCTGCGGCACCAGCAACGCCCTGGATGGTTCCAAGTCAGGCCGTTTTTATCAAAGTAAATTACTCTGTTTCTCTGAAAATCAGAGTGGTTTTGGGGGGGTCACTCTAACGTCTCTAGGTGTGAGGATCTAGGATCGAGCTCAGAAAAGAGAATGTGAATTGAATGAATCACCTGGTTACAACACGAGGCTATATATAGGCTCGACATAAGGCCCAGTAACCAGGTGTTACGCGAAGGTTTCGAGGGTCGCGAAGCGTCCCGAACAGACCCTTCCCGAATTCGGTAGAAAGCAATTCGGTGGCAACCAAAAAGCCTAGAATTCGGTGTACGCAACCTAGCTCGGTGCTATAACTATAATAAAATATAGGAAAGCACCTAGCCTAGGAAATCAAGCAATTCATGCATGTGTAAAATAAGCATAAGCTAGAAATAGCATAATAAAGTAAAGGCAAGCAAGCATAGCTGGCATAAGCCGTCGTACTCTCACACGTCCCCCCCTCAAAGCTGGGTGGCGTGAGATACACCCTACTTGACAAGACGGTCCTTGAAAGCACGGCGTGCGTTGCCCATATCAGCTTCTAGCACCCAACTATCTTCAGTGGGGTCGTATCCCTTCCAGCGTATCAGGAACTCGAGGGTCTTGCCGCCGCGGCGCCGATGAGTGAGAACGCCTTAAATCCAGTACTCTGGTTCATCTTGTACGAGAACAGGTGGTGGTGGCGGTAGCTGCCATCCCTGGAACTGTTGGTTGGGGTCCTTGTAGGGTTTCAGTAGCTGGACATGGAAAGCGTTGTGAAGCTTCCACGTATCTAGCAAGCGCAAACGGAATGTAATTGGTGTCACGTGTGCCTCCACGAGAAAGGGACCACAGAAGCGGGGCCGGGGTTTGGATGGTAGGTGTGACAGGTTCAAGTTGCGCGTGTCAAGAAGCACCTGATCTCCGACTGCTACTCGTCGTTGGCGATCGGCATACTGCTTCTGGGAGTTCTGCATCGTGGTGAGATGTCGCTGAGTCTTCTCCCATAGCTGCTGCATGGTGGTGACGAAGTCGTGTGCGGCTTGGACGTGTGCCGGTGTGGTTGGCTGTTGCGGTGTGGTGCGGCTCGGCCGCATGCGAGGCGTTGATGCAAGCAAACTCTAGGGTCGGTAACTGTGTGTCCTAGTGGCTGATGTCGTCTTTGCAAGCTGTGCGCAGTAACTGTTCAACCACCTGATTGAGTCGCTCGGTCTGTCCGTCAGTCTGGGGATGGTATGCTGAAGACATTGCAAGCTTAGTCCCCAACAGTCCCATGAGCTCCTTCCAGAACTTACTCGTGAATTTGGGGTCTCTGTCTGAGATGAGTGTAGCGGGGATGCCGTGGATGGTGATGATGCGGTCGAAGAAGAGGCAAGCAGTACCTTCAGGTGTAGCTGTTACGTTGGTCGGTATGAAGTGACCCATTTTGGAGAACTTATCGATTACTACGAGGATGGAATCGTGTCCTCGTGAGGTCGAGGGAAGTCACGTGATGAAGTCAAGGCTAACGACCTGCCATGGCTGCTCCGGTACGAGTAGAGGCTGAAGTAACCCTGCTTTTTTCTGCTTGCTACTCTTCATCCGCTGGCACGTGTCGCATGAGGCCGAACTGCTGCACGTCTGCTGCCATCCCGGGCCAGTAGTAATACTTTGCTATTCCTGCTAACGTCTTGTTGCTCCCAAAATGTCCCGCGTATGGTACATCGTGAAACTCCTCCAATAGAATCTGCTGTAGCGGAGCGTAATTCGGTACCCAAATCTTTCCTGAACCATTTTTTACCGCTAAGTCTTTCTCCCACTGTAACAGCTTCTGTTTCTCTCCTATTGCAATCTCTGCGTCCACGGAGTACCCATGTTGGAATAGACCCTTGAGTAGAGGGTTCATCCCGTCGAGCTGGATGCCTGCTACATGACCGGGGCGGCTCAACACGTCAGCTTTGTTGTGTAGCCCGGGTTTGTAGACGATGTCGTAGTGGAAGTGGGTTTCCAAGAAGTCCACTCACCGCACCTGCCGTCGTGAGAGCATCGGTTGCAACTTCAGGTATTTGAGGCTGCAGTGGTCAGTGTAAACTGTGGTCTTGGCTCCCTCCAGGTAAAACCTCCACGCCTTGAAGGCTACGACTATGGCTAAGGCTTCCTTTTTGTGAATGTGGTAGTTCAGTTCTGCTCCGTGTAGCTTTTTACTGAGGTAGGCGATAGGCTGTAAACCGTGTGCGTAATCCTGCATCAGTACTGCTCCGTCTGCCTGGTCACTAGCGTCTGCTTCAACTACGTAGTCCTTGTCTGTGTCTGGTACGATGAGTACTGGCGCTGTGGTCAGTGCTGTCTGTAGCTGTTCCATGGCTTGCTAATAAGGAGTTTCCCATTTGAATGGTGTATCCTTTTTCAGTAGGTCGGTCAGTGGCGCTGCTATCTTAGCGTACTGCGGCATGAACCTGTTGTAGTAGTTGGCGAAGCCTAAAAAGTGCTACAGCTTCTTCACGTTCTCCGGTACTTTCCACTTCACAAAGGCTTCGATCTTCCGCGGGTCCACGTGTATGCCCTCTACACTCACCATGCACCCGAGAACTGCACCTTCTTCAGTGCAAAGTCGCTCTTCGACAGCTTCACGAAAAACTTATTTTTCCGCAGGATCTCGAACACCTTCCGCAGATGCTCCACGTGCTCCTTCATTATTTTGGAGTAGATGAGAATGTCGTCCAGGTACACCACTACGCACTCGTCCAGCAGGGGTCGTAGGATGTGGTTCATCTCCGCCTGGAACGTCGCTGGTGTGTTGCAGAGTCCGAACGGCATCACTAAGTACTCGTAGGAGCCGTATCTGGTACGGAATGCCGTTTTGTGGATCGAGTTGTCCGCCATCTTGATCTGCCAGTAACCCGACCGTAGGTCCAGCTTCGAAAAGACGGTTGCAGCACGCAGTTGGTCTAGTAAGTCGTCTATGCGCGGTATGGGATATTTGTTCATAACTGTCTGTTTGTTCAATGCACGGTAGTCGATGCACATTTGTAGACTTACGTCTGGTTTTGGGGTGAATAGAACTGGTGCACCGTAGGGAGAGCTAGATGGGCGGATCAGTTGTCTGTCGAATAAATACTCAATCTGCTTTTTTTTATTCTGCCAGTTCAGTCAGACACAGTCGGTATGGTGCACGTGAGACGGGTTTCGCACCTGGTTCCTCCATGATCTCGTGCTTATGGGTGCGTGCTGGACGTACACCTGCGGGCAGGTCGTCGGGCATTATGTCCTTGTACTGCTCCAAGACCTCCTTCACTGCTGCAGATAGCTCTGAACTCGGCTTCTCCTCTTCTGCTGCTGCCATGACCAGTGCTAGGTAACCCGTGTTACTCTCGTTCACCGTCCGTTTGAACCGTGCCAGTGCCATTTCAGGAACGTCCCCTATATCCGTCCAACTTCGTAGCTCTATCCATTTCTTGTTGTTGTAGATGCACACCTTGCTGTTGACCCAATCGATCTCGGGGTTGAACCGCTTCAGGAAATCTCGCCAGAAGATGAAATCTAACCCTTTGATGTTGGTGACGGGCAGCTTCGTCTTCCATCTTAATGCACCTATATGCAGTTGCAGGGAAGTTTCGCCGTGGATGGGAAGCTCGTTCCGTCCACCATCGTTGCAGAGAATCGGGTCTTTACCGCCTTCTCTCCAATTTTCTCGAATGTTCTGCTGTCACACACAGAGTGAGATGCACCGTTGTTCACCAGTGCCTGGAGGCGTCGCCCATTGCATAACACCTCGAGGAGTAGTGGTTTCTGCTGTGCTGAGTAGCCAAAGAGGGTCTCATTAATAGGATCATAGGGTAAATAAAAAATGAATACCTTCCCTATTTCCTATACCTGACTCAGCACTTTTCACTTCCAACTTCACCTGGGGGGTAGGAGGATTTTTCTGAGGCTTGTATAATTTTTTTCTGAGCCTCGATTTGTCCTCTAAGCCTTTGCAGCTGTGTAGGCTTCACCTGTGGGCAATGGGGAGCCTTAACACGGTGCTG